GCTTAGAGAGGGCTGAAAGCCCTATGAAGCGGTATATAAGTCTAACTGCTATTGCTATTGCTTCAAATTATCAAGAAAGAAAGAAATATTTTATATTGGCATTTGAGAGATTACTGTTATGCCTAATTAGTATTTGCTGTAGTCAATTTAAATATGGTTTATTTGTAACTCAACGGAAGTCATGCAGCACAGGAAGGCTGGGATATATTTCATTTAATCAGTTCTTGAATGTATCATATTTTTACCCTTTTGGGAAGCAGTACATCCCATGTGTTTTACAAGTGAGATTTACAACAAAATGCTGCGTTTGTACCTTGTAATAGGATTGCTTTTGTTTAAGTCCCAACTAGACTAGAGCAAGATCCCATATACCAGTGATTGCAAACCTTTTTCTTACGGCATGCCAAAATTGCATGTGCATGCCCACTCAATTCACCTTGCCCACCTGTGCATGTGCACGCAACAGCACCTCCCCTGCGCGTGCATGCGTGCACAATTCCCCCCCCCCTCAAGCTCCGGAAGCTTTCCTGAAGTCTGAGGAGGGTGAAAATGGCCCTTCCTGGCCCTCCAGAAGGGTGAAAAATCAGCTGGTGGGCGCGCGCATGCATGCTGGAGCTGACGGCTGGCGTGCCACCAAATATGGCTCTGCATGCCACCTGTGGCATGTGTGCCATAGGTTCGCCATCACGGCCATATATACTCAGTTGAGAGAAAAAAAGAATTTCTCCTAATTTCTTCAGCCTTTCATCCACCTACGTTGCCCTATGACAACTCATAATTCACATAAGAATATTATTAGAATCCCAAACCCGAGTTCTATTCCCTTCTCACTCATAGAAACTCCTTGGTTGACTTTGAGTCAGTCATTCAACCAATACTATTTCATATGTTTGCTTATGAATAGATAAAATGAATAGATAAAATAAATCCTCACTCCTCCCCTTTCTTCTCTAAAACAAACCCAAACTTGGGAAACGGAAGGACGCAATACCTGGACTTTCCAGTGCTCTATCAGATTCGCTCAGTTTTAAGTATATGATGGCAACTTTCTCTGGACCTTTCATCTCTTTAGCAATCAGCTTGTTACTGAAGACTTCACAATTATAACGAGAAATGAATGGCTTTTTAGGGACATATTTCTGGGTTACGGAAGGGAGAGGCGAGGTTACCATAGTCACACCGCTCACCACAAAATCTGTTGGTAAGTGAGATGGGTGCAGCGTAGGATGCTGTAACCGCATAGGGGCACGACGGTTTTGCATTGGGAAGCTAGGGGGACCCGTCAAAAAGACAGGGATAACAAAATCTCTCTTAACAGGGTATGGAGGCTGAACACTAAAATCATCGTCTGGAAAGCACAAAGAAATTGATTGGTTCTTTTCAGGCGGAGGAGTCTGACTGTCAACATCTCCAAGCACTTTTTCGGGTTCTTTCTCTTTTTCACGAACAGCTGTTTTGTAGAAACAAAAATGACAGATGTCAAAAATAAAACAACACACACAACATCAGAATTAGACAACTGGAAAGCTGAATGTATATTTGCTATGTATCTATAAACTTTTTTGAGCTTAAATGGACTCCAGAGGATGGTAGAGGACAGGAAGGACTGGAGGAACGTTGTCCATGGGGTCGCAATGGGTCGGACATGACTTTGCAACTAACAACAACATCTATAAACTTTATCAGGAAAATAAAAATGACATACATTTGGCAGAGCAAAATTGCTGTCTCCAGTCATTATATTGATATGTACGTATTCTCACACCAGCATCCACCAAAAGATGATAAAGAACAGCCCATTGGTAATTGCCCCTGAAGCAGAAATAACTACAGGAAGTCCCTTGACTTATAATAATTAGTTTAGTGACTCTTCAAAGATACACAGCTGTGAAAAAAAGTGACAGGACCATTTTTCACATGACCATTGCAGCATCTCCATAGTCAATGATCCAAATTCAGAAGCTTGGGCAACTGGTTCACATTTATGACGGTTTCTGTGTTCTGAGGCCACGTGATCATTTTTTCTGGCCTTCTGACAAGCAAAGTCAATGGGGAAGCCGGATTCACTTAACAACCATGTTACTAACTTAACAACTGCAGTAATGCACTTCACAACTGTTTATAGCAATTTCAGAATTGCATTACACTGCATCACAAAAATATCTGCTTCGGTGCTCTGATGTGAGTTGAAACATTCCTGAAACCTGGATAATGTTGAATCAGTACACTGTAAATACCTCCCCACCTTATGTTGGCTTGCAAGGTAGACTCTACATTAGAGGTTTTAGCCTGAAGAGAATAATGTGAAGAGGTTGAGGGTAAACGTTTGAGGGCTTTGTTGAACTTCTGGCAGGTTAAAAAACCAGTAGTACCAACTTCGCTGTTAGCAGAAAATGCTCTATAAAAATGTGATGATCCAAGGACCCCTGGAATCCCCCAAGACTGTCTCAGAGGTCCACAAAAATCAAAATTATTTGCCAGATGTTGAAGACATTTGCAAAACTGTAAGACAGTATCATTGTTGTCATTATTTTTTACCTGTTAAAATAGATTATTTCATGAAAAGTATTTTATTTATCTTAAGGTATAATGGATTTAATATTGTTATTTTTACATAATTCAAGCACCCTTGGAAACAGCCTTTCAAACTATAGTCCAGGCCCCCAACAGTCTGAGGGACTGTGAATTGGCCCCATGTTTTAAAAGTTTGAGGGCCCCGGCCCTAAACTCTGCTGAAGATGCTACCTAATCTGTTAATAAAATGTTCGGAAACCAGCCCACAAGCTTCACCCTCACCCTCATCCTACACCTGAGCTACAGATATTCGCCACTATTGCAAGTATGTGATTAGTTGCAAAGAAGGAGATTTTGCTGACCAATGTGAAAATGGTGATATGTAAAAATTTGTTCACATTGTTACATTTTGTTACAGGGAACTTACAGCAGGATATGTCAAGAGAAACGTAAAAGTAAGTTGAATACAATGGGAATGGGGCACATAGGAAGTGTATATTGGTAAGATGCTGTACAACTAGGGCTGGGTTCCTGTATTGGTTGGTACTGGTTCACTTTGCTTGCTACGCTTGCATGGGCACCCACCGCGCATTGCTCGCACATGGGCAGTTCACTATAATTTTATTCTGTGCATGCGCAGAAGCATGCCAGCAACAGCAGAAGAGACTGGGGAACCGGTTCGGGGGCATGGCCACCCAAGACCGCTGCCGGTTCTGCAAACCAAGCTGCATCACCACTACTGGTTCAGCCAAACCGGGAACAACCCAGTTATTCCCAGAGTTGTACCCAACTCTGTGTACAATCAAGAATGAATATGGGATGAATTCAGAAAAGAAGAGTGACCAGTCCCAAAAGGTTATCTTTTGAGAATAGAATGAATGGGGACTGAATTCTTAGTCAAATACAGTATATATCAAAAGGGGAAGATAATTTTTAAAAAGGTTGATGGTTGGGAGGTGTTGATTAGATCTCAAGAAGAAAGTTTACGAATAGAATTCAGTATATAAAGCAATTTATGGATCTAGCAGAAACAAGAATGATTTGTAAACCTGGAAAGAAATAGAGGTTCAGAATTGTGTCAATGAAAACGAGATTAATTTATGTTTCTGTTTTTGTTTTTTTAAAATCTCCCTTTCATTTCCTTGGCATACTAAGGCATTTCTGCATGAAGCTGCTTACACTGAAAGAGAATGGAATATTGAGGAAAAGTTCTAACTATGCTCACTACAAACAAATGAGATTTTCTTTTAAGGAAACAATTGAGTCATAAATCATCAAATATTTATTCATATAAATATTTATCATTACAAAGCACAGAATCAGCCACAGTCAATACTAAATGCCCACATCTGAGTTATACATCAGCTTTGCAATACAATAAAGAGTAATGCTATATGTAGGTAAACCTTGAACAAGACTACCTTACCTTTCGTGCATTTCTTCTTTGGAATATATTGTTCAGTTTCCGTCTTTGGAGACAGAGGTCTCCGGAGCAACTGAAGTTGAGACATGGTCTTATGTTCGTTAAACCTGTGGTACGTCAAGAGACATAGGGAGAACGAAAATTTAAAAAATAAATCAAAATAATTAACATTCTGAAGGAACATTAAAGGAAGAACTAAGGAGATAGAGGATTATATTGTAAACAAATAGAGCTTCCAATTTTTAAAATAATTTTGTTTAAAAAATTGCCTGGAAGAAAATGTTTTTCCTTGATCCTTTATGAAAAGAAGATCAGACAACAAATGAAACTAAGAAGGATATGTTAAGATGGGAGAAAATTCAGTTGTCATTACTGGGGATAATTTATGTAATAAAAATGAATATTGCCTAGAATGATGTTTTGTTTCAAACAATATTTGACAACATATGCATTGTTCAACCAACAGCAGAAAGATACCGGTATATCTTGGTTTGTAGGACAAGGAGAATAGCGAAGAGTTAAATATGAAAGAGTGGGTATTGCTGAAAAATATCAGAATTTTAAAATTTAAAAAGTATGACCTGAGATTTAGATAGCATGGTTTTTATGGTGTGATTAGGGTTATTTTAAAAATCATTATATTATAAGTCTCATATTGAGAATATGGAATAGATATAAACCCAAACTGTGCCCGAATATGCTTTTGTGGATCTCAGCACAAAAAGTATTTCAGCAGGCAAAGAATAACAATTAACATACCAAGAATAGTTAGAAAAAAGACACAGAATAACAATTGAACTCAGAACTTTTCTTGCTGGGACTAAATGATAGATAATTAGAAAAAAAGATATGGAATATATGTTTTGTATATGACAACTGTAGTGAGACTCCTATACACACAAAAATGGAAAAAATCTGAAATACCCACAATGGACGAATAGTTGGTAGGGGATGATAGAATTAAGCAGAGATAGTAAAATTGACTTATTCTGAGTAGAGGCAAATAGTATGCGGGCATGTGAAGGAATCTTTCAGTAACTTCATTCCTCGTTTTGAACCTCTGTATGTATTTCCCAGTTATAATTGTCCAACCCGTTTGATCTCCTTTTCTAGGCATTCTATAGAAGTAAACCAAGATCATGCAGTAGAAATACCACAAGCTCCCTGAAATCACCAAGTATACAAATCGTTGAAATAATAATTTTTTTAAAAAATGAAGTGACTATTTTGAAAAGCAGCTGAGAATGTCTTTACTCTATTTTTTGAAGGAGGTCTTGGAGCAGTTCAGCTTCTCATTGCATGGATGGGTTCCACTAGGCAGCCCTGGAATAAGTCAATGGGAAGCTGTCAGATCTTTCAGAAGGGGAGGCACCCATGCTTCCATTGCTGAATTTCTGGCTTTAGGAAAAGAGAAAGAGATAAAGAAAGATTTTCAAGTTTGGTTTGTCTGATCTCAACAACCCTTCTCAACCATCACTTACATAGGTTCTGCTCTGCATTCACTCAGGACATTTGAATCTATTCTTTCTCGCTTGAGTTCTGACAAACCTGGACAAAAGTAACTCTTGGTTTTCTCTATTTAAAAGCATGGGGCCTAGACACACTTTTTTGTGTGCTTGCAAATCAGTTTTTAATTCTTGTTAACTGCCTGAAGAAGTCCTTGCAATTTTCTTGGCAAGGCTTTTCAGAAGCCATTACCTTCTTCCTAGGGCTAAGAGAGAATAACTGGCTTTGGGCCTAAGGCAGGACTAGAAGTCATGACCATTCTAGTCTTTATTTATTTGATACCGGTAGTTATCCTGCTACAAACAGACTGTTGATGCTTTACAAATATTATAGAAACTTCATGTTTGTTTTTCTTATTTTTTCTTTGATACTAATATTTATAGCATTCATTTCAATTCCAATCCTTGAAATATCACTATACACATTTCTAAAACATTTCTTTGAACTTTTCTTCACTTTACTTTCATTTCAAATACTTAGATTTCTTTTACTTTTGTTTAGTGTTCCCAGAGTTCCTGGTTTAACCCTTTAATCACTTTGGAAAGAAATGCATAACTCATAGAGCCGTGATGGCGAACCTATGGCACGCGTGCCACAGGTGGCACACAGAGGCCTCTCTGCCGGCACGTGAGCCCCAGCTGAGCTCCACCAAGCATATGCTGCTGACCAGCTGATTTTCGGGTCTCTGCAAAACACTATAGATGCCATCCATATACATCCAACAGGAACAGGAAGTGCCTCACAGGAGCAGATAGAGGTAAATCCTAGAGAGGCAGGAAAT